GCACCTGTAAGTCAATCCGTAGCAGATGTGATCTTTTCTCTCTCTGGCTGTGAGAAAATTATCGTGTTTTTACTTTTATCATGTGCACACAGAATGCTGAGCACTTTGAAAACAGACATTAAAAGTGTTCAGAAGCAGGAGCAGGAGTTAGGAATGGATTGCAGAGCTTTTACTGTATTTATGAAAGCAGCACGGTTTACTTTTAATAGTCAACAAGTAAACAGGACTAACCACCATGTTTTTATCATTTCCGCTACAGGTATGTATTAAAAGCCATCATACTGGTGGAAAGAAACATTTATGTTGACGTGCATCACATTCAAGATGTCCTTTCCTCATGTTCAACAAAGACAAAACAGGATCTCATTTTCACATGTTTGGAGAGTTTGTGGCATGGCCAGATTAAGCTGTTTGGGGGACCCGTATCTGTTGCCTCCAAGTTCCCAAGTACAGTGAACACAGCACATTATTATAGATGAAAGCTTCTGTACATTTTGAAGACCCAGAAACCAACCAGTACTCTTATATGTCAGTTTATCTGAGGTAATTTTCTAAAACACAACTTTATTTAAGGGAATACATCATGTGAGCCCAATATACTAAAACAATGTTGGAACTAGATTTTTTGACTCAGTGCCTCTTAGCAAGACAGGGCAATTAAATTTCATAATAATGTCAGATATTGTACTTTTAATGGTACAAATTCCCCCAATAAATTGGGGCCAGGGCCCTTGAACTGTTGCCAGCAGTGTCCGGTTGGTAACCACAGCAATCATTTCAATGCAAAGTTGCTTCTCTTTTGTAATGGATGAGAATGGGTTAAGTGTATGAAGGAAATTGTACCTCCTTTAAGTGATCCAGTGAAATGTCTTTTGAGGCACTAAAAACACGGCCAATGACACACTAATACAACTCTACACTGCTGACCTTTGCTTGCCGACCACTGTGATATTCTCATCCACTTGGCATCTTCCCAAAAGTTCAAACACTGTACGTCCTCGACTGCCAGCACCATTGTGCACGCAGAAAGGAACATAAGTGTTGGCCCACAGTTCCACCTGTTTCAGCTGTTTTGGCCATTAGGTCCAATCAGTGCTATCGTCTCCCTTTCCTGTCATGGGAAAATGGTTGTGGCCTCTGGAACAATCCCCCCCACCCCCACCCCCCAACACACAAACACTTGACCAGTGGCCAAAGGGTGGGGATGTCTGTGGGGACAACCCGTAATGCTTTCTTAGTTACTCCATGTACGTACAGCTGCCAGTACATGTGCAACGGGAAATGTTCGACCTCCCAAAAAGGAAGAGGGGATACATTTCCTCAATGACCCTTCTACATGATGCTCCCAATACTTATAAAAACAAAAATTCACATTCCTCAAGGAGCCCCTGCCAACACTCATCATACATCATCAGGATGGCTGACAGTCAACTTCTTGACCTTTAACGAGGAAATATGTTTGGATCTCTGTGCTGTCTTACAAAAATAAGGAAGCACAGAGGAACTGTGCAAGCCAAAGTAGCTGGAAAAAGTGATTGCACGGGGAATAATTACAGTAATATTCACCAAGCATGGGAATAAACCATTAAAGTCAGGAAATCAGCTTGTCAGATTAGGTGGTATGTTCCCATTAAAGCACTTTTTTTGTACAGCATTCCTCAGCACGCCCCGATGGTTGGAACGCTTTCAAGAATGTCATAATTAAATCTAGACATTACAGCATTTAAATAAACAGCAGAAAAAAAAAACTATTAAAATTCAATAAACAGACACCATTTCCACAAATGTTCATTTTTATTCAAATCACCGCAACAATTCCAAATGAAACCAGATGGGTCATGTTGGAGAACAGAGGCACAGAAATTTAATTTTGGCAACACAGTGAAGATAAAGAATATGAAGAGCAGAACACGCCATTACTTTTAGTTTGGTATTGTGCTCATTGAACTGAGCCTGTCATCCGACGATAGGGTTGATAAGGGACCCCATCACGCCTCCTTCACATACATCCTCACAGCGACCACGTCTCCCATTATGCATTTCTGTGGGAAAAGAGGAGATCGGGCGTGAAGAGCAAAAGAGGTGCAGTTGTAAAAGACAGGTGGAGATAGATTCCTGCATGTGTTTTGAGTCTAGGTAAGAATTTAGGCTGCAGCTCATCATGCAGAGGTAAATTCTTACATAACTCATAATGTGTGTATAATCTTTCTAGGGTTAATCAGTGTGTTCCTATTGGAGAGCCTGTCTGACTTTATCCTTTACAGAATTCTCTTAATGTCTTATGATGTAACTGTACTCTTCCTCAGGGGATACTTTGGGGGGGGTTGTCTTTGTTTCTACTACCTTACATTGCGCCACCAATGTTACTGTAGGATTTCCTGCAGTACAATGACATTTTAATTCGTTATTTTTACCTATACATGCATGTTTGCTCTCTCAAGTGGAATATGGGAGTTTACAAATCAGGATTTAGACAAAACACAATAACTGATCATGAACATATTACTTTTACATACATCAAAGCAAACGTGAAAAGATGCTGATTTGCTGATTTAAGAAAAAAGGAGTAAAAATTTAAGGATGCTTTTACGTGATGAAGTACTTTTGCACAAACTAATAAAATGTATTTAAAAAAGGTGCCTTAAAGTTGGTTGTTATTATTAAAATTAAAAATAAATAAATAAAAAAAAGTCAGGAGAAACTGAATCCTTACCGCTATCAATTTCCCATCTGCAATCTCCCTCTCAATATTCGTCTCTTTGCCATCCCAGCTCTGTTTCTGCACGAGTTTTCCGTTTTCCAGAGTCACCACGGTCTGCAGGGCACAGAACAGAGACAAGCCGTTAATTCCAGAACAGGAAAAAAAAAAAAAAAAAAAAAAAAAGACCCCCCCCAGGATTTATTTTGTTTTCTGCCCTCAGACCACACTAACCCTTGTCTTCCTATCGTCAGCGGTCGTCTCCTCGAATGGCTCGTTGAGCTTGAACTTGATTTCAGTAGTTTTGAAGGTGCTCTGAGACTTCATGCATACCATCCCTTGCTCGTCCACGGTCACTACCAAATTGGGCTTGGTCCGATTCCCCACCTGCCGGGTCGCAAAACCCACACCTGCAGAGTGGGAAGGGCAAGATCAGCAGAATGCATTAAATATAACGCACTTATGGTTCAAATACACCTGAAAGCTCCGTTTTTAATGTGTAACTAGACCATTAAAGCAATCAGATCAGTCAGGTAACTGGACCAGATTGCAGATTGCAGCCAATGTTACATTAAAAAAAAATAAAAAGTTAGCATAAGTTGCATTAAATTAATTAGCAGCTGACAGCCTGGGGCTTTAAGCACACACTATCCTACCAATCGCCTTCATGTAGTCGTCAAAGTTGTCGCTGGAAATCATCTTCCACGTCCCAACAAACTTCTCAACCATCTTTGCAAGTTTTTTTTCTGGGTGCGATATCCTCAACAACAAAAAACAACAACAACGACCCTGTGGAGTGACTCCGGATTCAACTCTCTTGCAGTGTGGGAACAGACTCGTTTTTAAAGGGCCAGCCCGGCATCCAGCGACGCAGCGGGAGCCAATCACGGCCTGCGACGTCACATAATGGAACGTTGAAATCCCGCCTCTAGCCTCACTGGCTAATAGCATCTGTGACTGAATGGGGATTTCTCATAAAGGGGGGGTTTAATTGTGTTTTCATAATAATTGTCATATCTTCATTGGTGTTTTTTTGTTTATATTCTGAGCTCAATTGGCACCTGCATGATAAATGTCAACATATTGTTAATTTAACCATGTTATCATGCAACAACTACATATGAGTTGTAATACAGTCAAAGCCTCATGGGAGGTGTGGTGGGTGATTAATAATCATTATTTATTAATCACACTCCCCTGGGATTATGAATGGTTATAAATAAAGGTTAATCACAATAATTATACATCTGTTATAAGCCATTAAACACATTTATGTTGCAAGGTTGGAAATATTTATTTCTACAAACATGCAGACAATCTACGATAAAACGAATACAACCTGATGATGATTAAAACCCTTTGTTAATGATTTATTAACATTCATATTGCAAACTTAATGGTTGGTTTAAAGGGGTAAGAATCATTATCTTTTAGTAATGGATTAGTAACATTTATGTCTGTATTATTGTAAAAGTTAGAATGGCTTATAATTAAGAAAAAAAAAGGCACAAATGAATTATTAACAAATTAAGACATTAGTTACAACATGTAAAACATTTTACAGAGGGTGACCCATTAGGTGGTGGTAGCAATTTTACTTGCCAGTATAGTAGAAGACATTAAAGTTCTTTAGCTTAGAATATGAATGCCAAACCCCATCAGGAAAATGCTTCAGCTAATCTGGAAAACTGATGAAAATACATTTTCTTTGTGAAAACGTGGATGTAATAATAACCCATCCATGGAGAAAAGCCATTAAGTTATGGATGCTAATGACACAGTGGGTAGCTAACAGGGGGGACAGGATTTCAGTGATCTGTGACTGGGTGAAAGGGTTTGTTTTCTTTTTTTTCAGCAGGGCTACATTTAAAACTCTGTGCCAAATTACATTTAAGCCTGCTGTGTCAAAGGTTGTAGCTTGCATAATGTTCTCTCTAATGCTGGAATGGTCTCTTTTATCAGTAAAATGGCACATTATGCAAGGACACACCATGACCCTGTACTGATCACAGCACGTTTTTTAGCAGTTAAAGCATTTCAATTGATGTATTTAATACGGAGTAAATAAGCATAGCTGATGGGGCTAATTTCAAACCTATTTCCCCTTAAGAGGGTGCATTGCTGTTGCAGTTTGATTGTAATAAAGTCTGTGTTGACAGTAGAAATCTGGTAGGATTTCATCCTTAAATTTGTGTGATTCAAGGGGAGGAACTCACTCAATACCGTGCGCGTCCAAATTACGTCACATCACTGGAGAGTAGCTTAAGTGAATCAAAGGTCAATTCACACCAGAACCGGCCCGTTTAAATGAAATACTTTTATTATAAACATCCAACAACACACTGATACGTACAGATAAATTCAACACATTTAACATGATGATCGTTATTTTTTCGCTGCTGCCTGTGGATCCTTGGCTGTGCACCGTGACTGAAATGCACTCAGCATCTCCTTGCTGGTCAAATTTGCTCCTTTCATCACCAGCCTCTCTCCATCAACTGTAACGGAGAAAGACAAAAGACACAATGACGTGACTCATAAAGACACAATACTGATCTCTCTGTATAAAGGAGTACAAGAAGGCAAAAAAAAAAAAAAGGTGGAAAGTTAACTCTGAACAGAAGTCAAGTAACACACAATGGGCAGCAGATGCATAACATTCTGCTGACCTATGGCAGACATCTCTACTTCTGGTAAGTATTTGAGTCATTGTGTGTGAGCGATACTTATTGTGAAATATCATGTGTATGCTAGGTGTTGTGACGCACGTACAGAGCCAGCCTTTTTCTGTGTCTAATGAACAAGCTCTTTTCCCCAATAACACCCACCGGTACACCACAGTGGTTTCTCTGCATCAAGTTCATTTACGTATAGATCGCCTCTCAACCTCGACATATCTCAAGGGAAGCTTTTAAAGACTTGGAGCCGACTGCAACTAAAAATTAAAAACAACCACACAGGTTTGCTTCATGGGGATAAGACACATCTCCAGTGGATTAAAACAATGGCAGCGCAAAACTCCAGCCACAATCACAATGTAAAATATATCTTCTCCCACACATTTGAATGTGGTTAGGTAATACTTACGGTAAGTAACATCCACTACAGGTTCAGATTTGTCATGTTTCACCATGGTTACAACCTCACAGTTCCTGTTGGTAGCTCTGGCCTTCTCTGAGCCCACCAAGACGAGGAACTCCCTGTGGGACAACAACAAACACAAGAGCATATTGAAAAGATTACTTACATTACAGCAGTGACGCAAAGGAACAGTTATTAAAAGTACCTTTTTCTGCTACTTTACACTTTGTAATGGAGTTTTTTTTTTAAGAAGCAGAGAGGAACACTTCTTCATCTCCTGCATTACAGGTAGTAGACACGGTGCTTGTTCACATATAGGGCTCACATCATGCATCAGTATAACATTTTTCACCAATACTAAAATCTTTTTATTCTTATTTTAGACTCTATGGTTGCAAACATTGTGACATAAAGCAGGAAACTCGGGAGTATTAATAATTGCTGCATTCCACTTAGGTCCTGTTATTGTGTGTGCTGGTTCAGTGTTAATAAGACAAAACGTCTGCTGTGCAACTATTGACAGTGTGTAACCAGTCCATTCAGGGCGTCTGCAGATAACAATAAGCTCAATGCCCTACACACACACACACACACACACACCCCTGCATTCCACCAACACAGGTGTTTTCACTTATTTTGCCTGATTAGGCCTCACCTGAGGACTGTGGGTGGGAAAGGTTACACCTTAATTATTCTTATTTGTTCATGAAATTTAAAATGAAAGATCTTCATATAATATGCCTTTTTCACAGGAGCCACTTCGACGTGTAATAGTCGGGTAAACACCAGTGCTTCCAATGATACTTGTGTTGCATTCAAGTCAGACAGAGACAGCGTGCTGTTACTGTGCATGTTGGCTCAGTGGGAAGGCTCTGCTACACTAAATGGAACTGGACCTTAATTAATAGTTAGCTATTAATATAATAGGTAACACCTGTGTTTACCCTACTGTTTCATGTCAAACTGGCTGCTGTGAAAAAGCTCTATTCTAACATAGTTCAGCTCACCTGAGCGAAATAATGAGCTAAAATTAAAGTGAAAACACCTGTGTACGTGTTTTAAATCAATTATATTACAGCTTTTCTTTCAGTTTCAGGCCAAAATATTGAAGAAGTTTGGACACATTTCAGACAAACCGTGTCCTATACGTCCATGGAAATAATGGAAGAGGGATATCCTTATGTCGTGGGTATTTAATATGTTATACCACAGACCATAACAAGTTATTAGCTCATTAAAATACAGTTTAAAGTAGTTAATATAACGTTAATGATCTTGTGTTGGCTGCTGTTCGGATGCACTGTCGCTAACGGTCGCCTCGTTGTCAAGTAACGGCTTTAAATCAAACGTCCAGTGACAGAAAACGACTCTCCGACACAACGAGACATTAAACACACACTTCTTACCGTGTGGACCGGACATTAGACTCAAACGGAGAAAACTGAATCGCTATTTTCTTCACAGCCTTCAGCACCACGGTCGCTTTACTGGGAGCCGCCATGTTTTCTGTTGTGACCTCCGGTGTGAGGGAACTTGTCGCCTCTCTTGTCGGCCACTAGAGGGCGCCAGAGGATAAAGAACTGACCAGCGCTGACTGGGAAATGGATGCAATAAGGTACAAAAGTGTCATTAATTGGCACATATAGAGATGAATTAGTCATGCAGGACTAATATATGTAGAATTCTGTGATGATAATGATAAATTAGGTTATAATCTTTATACCTTTTCATTAGTTTAATCTATTTTTAATTCCTCTGCTACTTGTTTTTTTTTAGTGATTTGTATTTTAAACCTCCATCTACATGGTTTCATAAACCTCTAAGCCATTTAAAAATATGTGTTTCTTCCTTTAAAATCCTTCAAAATTCCTTGATAGCATTTGATTTGCATCTTGTATTTGCTCTTGGTCCATAGGGAAGGGCAGTAGTGTTGGGGCTTCTGCCGGTGTCAGTGATGTACAACCATATTCCTGCTCTCTCCTATAATGTCAGGTGTATGTAAGCACACCGTGATAGTATAATAACAACGCTAGTAGTAAGATAACCGGTCTTTATATAGGAATTTTACAATACAACACAGTTGTAGTGGTGCGTAAACAGCCTAATCTCGTTCACAATGACGTGGCAAAGCTCATTAAAGCAAACTCACAGGGAAACCGACTGTGGCACTTTCCTGTAATCATCTGACAAACGATGTCACAGAGCAGAATTACGTTAGCAGAGAACGAGTGGGGGGGGTCTGTCAAGCACTAAGTCAATAAAGGAGGTGCTGCTCTCCAAATAGACAATCAAACAGACACATCTCATAATCAAATAGATGAGGATGGGCAAATGGTCCCCAGCTACTGCTGCTTCCTGCACTCAGCAGATGAAAAAAGGTCAAAAGCCTGTCAGGGTATAAAAAGTCAGAAATGGAAATGCATTTGAATTTTGACTGCGTTAGCACTTCAGTCAAATCTAATCAGGGCATAAATTGCTTCTGTGAAATAAATAAGTGTCTGTGTGTAATGGAGGAGTTCGCGGCATCAAATCAAAACAACAATTATGCACTTTTTGTGAGGGAGGGTTGTCATATTTAATTTTCACAGTGGAGAGCATATCTCTGTGTGTATGTGTGTGTGTGTTTATCTCTGCAGTAAAAGTTAGTGTATATAAGAAATATATCACTCTTTAAATTACTCGTTTGAAAAAGACTCTCCAGAAAAATGAGAGAAAACACTGTATACTAATCACCTCATCTACCCATTTTGTAAAAAAAATAAACAAAAAAAAAAACTTGAGCATTGCGTTTGCACTTCCCTGACCTCTGGTCAGTATAGCTGGGTATTTATAGCCACGCTCTTTTTTGGGGCGTGTGAATAACAAATGTGTTATTCTCAGATCAGCACACCCAAGCTTGTACAATTTATCCTAACTTAAGCATGCCTCCAGTCTCTTTCCTGAACGGCCGACAATCTGACCCAGCCTGTGACAGTTGGACAGTGAAAGCACGGGGCTCTAAATATAGACATACGGCTACTGAGAGACAGAAGCATTTCCTATACACTACCCACACCCACACACACACACAGATACTTCTTAAGTTATTGTACAGTGAGTCCAGTAATAAGAAAGCGGGGGAAGAGGGCGCTCCGAAACAATGAATGCTCAAGGGGATGGTTGACCTCAAAGAAAATAGTAGTATTGTTTTAAGCAGGGTGATAAATTATGAAACACATGACATAATTAGATACACTGGTGTCCTTTTTAAAGCTAAAACACAATACTATAGCCATAACAGTATAACATGTTTCAATGTGTCACAACACTGTCAGTTTAAGAGTTCAAATATTATCTGACATTCATAATTTGGGTGACACCCAGTTTAGGTGTGAGTATTGAGTATAGAAGCTGTGATATTCTCAGCATTAAACATGAAGCAGCTGCTCCTGGTGAACAAACAGGGGAAAGATTGTAACAATGTATGTGAGAACACTCAAGAGTTCTCTTGGAAAATACCGGTGCATTTACTGTTAGAAGAAAGGTATTTCCCCCTGGAGACTGATACACAGTGTGCAAGGAAGTTGGTAGCACTGTATTCATGACTCCAGTCACTATTCGGTTTCTGCATCTCTGAGGAGCTCCTCAGGGTCTCCCCAGGAACATAAATTCCCAGTATCACTGAATATTACTGATAGACTTTGAATTATATTTCTCACGTATGTTGTGATTATTTCTAGATGTGAAATATAACCAAACATATTGGTCATAAATCATAGATTCATTATCAGTAAAAACACAAATGTCATCTGTTGAGCTCCTCGAGGCAATCTGTTCTGTTTAAAGCTGCTGCTGTGAAATACTATAAATGTCTGTTATTGTTTTTATTCTATATATGTACATATTACGTGTGTTTCCTATTGTCATTTATTTTTATTTTGTTTGTATTTCACCAAATCATGTTGTAATTAGTTCCTTTCCTTTCCTTTAGGCCTATCTCTTTTTAAGTTGACAGGAGGATAATTATCTTGTTTATACTGTTGTACACATGGACAAATAAAAAAATCTATAACTAAACTATTGTCTTACACATTCTTTGGTTTCATATTAATATCTCCAAATAATTTCTCCTACGGGGATGAATGAAGGTACATCTTATCTTAAACCCTATATATATATAATAAAATATTAGAATTAAAATGTATACTAAATTATGTGCCAGTAAATAAGGCTCACCCACACATAATTATTTCTATATATCTATCCCTTGATGCAGTGGTTCTCAACCTGGGGTCCAGGGACCCTGAGAGGTCCTTGAAGGGTTTCAAGCGGTGCCCAGAAAATGGTGAATATTTTACTTTATTATTTAACTTTGATTAAAAGTAAGCTCAATCAGGGGATGTATGAAAGTGACTGTTCTTCCTTTACAGTATAGACAGTGATGGAATAACTAAATCAAATCAGATGAAGATCTGTGAGACTACATCTTATTAAAAACAGGTCTGCAGCCTGATGTGTATCAGTTAACATTAAGATTAACACCATCATCTGTGGGCATTCTCAATGATGTATTTCTAGCTTGTGGGGGCAATAAAATTCAGCTCAAAAACAACTTGAATCACATCTCCTAAAAAAGTCCCCATGTGAACTACACTTCCCATGAAGCACCGCAGCCGCAGCTCTCAGGGTCTCCTCCTCCTCCTCCTCCTCCCAGCAGCGTCCTGCCTGGCGGAGCTCGCAGCGGAGCAGATGAACAGCTCCGTGTCTCTCGCGTCTAGAAAAATGTGCGCAGGGTGAAGAAGGAGTAGCAGCTCTGTGTCTCTGTAGCCTCCACACACACACACACACATACACCGCTGACACTTCTCTGCGGCAGCACTGCGAGCTTCACGAGGAGGACGGGCGAAACACACACTCAACCACTTTCTGCCGCTGAATGCTGATTTCTAGCGGATAGTGCTCCTTTCGCTGGTAAGCGCTCGTTTTCTTATCTTCTACATCTGTGCGTAAAAGTTCTTGTTTGGTTATCCTAACAGTGCTGCACCGGGCTGAGGATGTGTGTGTGTGTGTGTGTGTGTGTGTGTGTGTGTGTGTGTGTGTGTGTGTGTGTGTGTGTGTGTGTGTGTGTGTGTGTGTGTGTGTTAGGAGGGAAACTTCACTGACAGACAGACAGCAGGCTATAGTTGTGACTGACTGCGGCAGCCTCAGTGGTCGCAGTGAAGCCAAATTTGAGTAGCGGTGACAGTAGAGGCGGAACACGGGACTTGTTGCCTTAAACTAAAACATTTCTTGTTTCCGGTTCATATTCAACACTGACACTTGGATATTTTGGAAGCAGTTGTCTCTCTCTCTCTCTCTCTCTCTCTCTCTCTCTCTCTCTCTCTCTCTCTCTCTCTCTCATCTGCCTTCTTTATTTAATATTGGCTTGTAGTCTTCTGTCCATCTCTCCAAGCTGCTGCATCAGGTTCATCTTAAAGGGAAGCTGACAATATATTGCTTAAAAACATATAGGTGACAAACCTTAATATCCAGTAATATTAATGGACTTATATCTGTTTATTATCGCCTTGTCTAAAGCGTGTGTATTCATACAGGAAATTAGATATATTTTGACCTTCTTCTTCTTCTTCTTCTTCTTCATATGTGCATTTTAAAGACTCATCACATCATTTATGGGAAACTGGTCAATCTTTATCTTTAAGTGAAATAGACCTGTACTTGTGTGTGAGATGCTAATCACCTTCCCCCATTCTGACACATGGACTGGTTTTAGTCACAGGCATGCTAGCCCACACACACACACACACACACACACACACACACACACACACACACACACATTATACCATAAACGGTATGTTTGTTTGTTGCAAAGCCCTCTGGGTTATCCTCAGACATGCATAAACAGCACTGTCCTCACTGACACGGAGAAGTGTACGCAGCCTCTCCCCTCTAAATGCATGCACACGAGCAAACACACGTAACACGTAAGGTGAAGCACACACACACACACACACACACACACACACACACACACACACACACACACTTGTTCACACATTGTACATCCACCTTCCTCTGTAATTGTAAATATGAAGTTCCTCTCTGCTGACCTGCCAAATAAATAAACACCCCTTTTCACACTCTGTCAGTTCTCCTTGAGCTCTCCCTTTCTACCCCCCCCAACTCTCTTCCACACACACACACACACACACACACACACACACACACAGTAGAAACCCCCTCCCTCAGTCTGTGTTGATGCTGTTGAATAGGAACTGTTGGCAGGCCATCTACCCTGCAGCAGCCTGCCTTTCACAGAAGTTGACATTCACTTCAGCAAACACAATTTGCACGTTGTTTTAGCTTCCCTTTACTTTCAGTGAACTTCCTTCTGTTACATGCTTAAACATTAATGAAATGGCATCTTTTTATAGGAACCTGGTAAATTAGTACCCGGCACAACCATGTTTTGAAGCCTGAATCTTTAACCAAAGTCTAAACTGAGTGCAATGTTCTTTTTTTTGTGCTTAAATAAACCCCCCCAAATCCTCACCTTACTTTGTTTTCATGTCATTGTAATGCGTTTGGAAGAAAGTAGCTGGCAGGCTTCTTTGCAGCTTATAAAACGCACATGTCAGGGTCAGAGCTGGATGTCAGTGTACAACTAAATCTCTGTCACTCTATAAGAGATTGAGTGTGTAGCGGTGAATGTAAGAGGACAGCGGCATGGCAAATGCTTTGTGACAGTTTTAACTTTGGAGTATTCATAGCATGCCGCTAATGCTGGTATTTGGATGGAGACGAGGCCGCGTACGTGCAGCTGTTGCGCGAAAAGAAGGGAGATGAGTGAGGAGCAAAAAGGGCCGAGAGCGATCACCGAGGAGTTTACCGAACCACACCAACAAGTAGAGTTTGTATTGGGTTGATATGGGGGAGCCTTTTGTTCACACACCCCTTCCCTGAAAGGATCGCACTCAAGCTGTCCAAACATTTTCTCATCCAGCTCGGATAGGAGGGTCTAGCCACATCCACACTGAGCTCCGCTGAATCTGAAAGAGCTGCTTATGTTGTCTGCCTCAACTAAAGGTTCCTATGGAGAATGGGGAGTTAGTTCAATGGGACTGAAGCCAGAAGCTGCTTAGCTTAGCTTAGCTTAGCTTAGCATAAAGGCTCGACATTTGTGAAACCGCTAGCTTGGCTCTACCTACCCGCACCTTTAACACTAATGAACACATTATATGTTGTTTGTTTATCCGTACAGAACAGAAAGCGTAAAAGCAACAAGTGGCGTCTTTTGTCAAGCAATCAGCAGAAACAGGAAGTCACTGCTCCAGGCCAACAAACAGTCCGACACGTACCACCACCACCCGTAAAACTCAGCATGACCTATTGAGCTGACAGATATTAGAGGGGTGTCAATCCTCTCCTAATGTAACATACATATTAAGTGTATTTCCCCAGGTATCAAACTCTTCCTATAAGTGTTTGTCAGTTGCTTTCAGGAAATGTTTTAGAGCAAAACTATTCAAATTGGGGTTTTTTTAACCTCACCAGGCCTGTTCAATCCCATGTGTCGGCTTTTGAGTCACAACACCTCGTGGTTAAATTACTTTGTGGAAAGTCATTTGCATGACCTGAACTGTTCTCTATTCAGGAGGGGTGAGGCTGAACAGCTGCCTGTAATTCTGCACTCATTAAGACTGGTCCTAATGTGTCTGATGGAGAACACAGTGATGTTGCTATGTGCTGCGGGCCTGGAGGTCCTGCTGCTGAAAGGAGAAAAGCATAATCGCACTCTGTCTGACTGCTGTGAAAGTAGAGTTTCATCATAGGCTGTCAAGATGTCGTTTAGCAGACTACACACATTTCACACTCACTTAGGCTTTAACAAGCAAGAACCCCATCCCCATCATTGGTAGGCAAACAGTGGAGTGTTTGGCTCTGCCCTCCAGGTTTTGCAATTACCCTGCACGCCCTGTTTTTACACCCCTGTCCATCTGAGACACACACCTCTGGGGATTGGACTGAGGGTTGAGTCTGGAGGAAGCATGCGTTGATGTGACTACCAAGGATTTTTTTTGTTAAAAGCCAAGCTTGCTTTGGATTGAGCAGGATTCTGAATGTGAAAATGGAAAATACTGTTGTTTTTTTTTTTCTTTCATTGATCTGGAACAGAGCGAAAGCGAAATTATTTTCCATTTAGATCTAGTTCCATGCTGTGCTGGTCAGGAGGGGATATTTACAGATTTGAATTTCTGTGTTTTTATGTTATTAGCTGCCAAACTACATGTCTTTCATGGTCATAACAAAACCCATACAATGTGTTCCAAGTTGGCTTCTGCTTTATTTTCACATTACAGCTGATGTTTTGTTTTTAAAATGTGAGTTCTCACCTTATATGTGTGGTTCTAAAAGGAAAGAGGAAATAGCTCATGCAGACCAAAATCATTTAGCAGTCGCACTGTGGTCTAGGGGTGCCTCTGTGGGCAACTGCAAACTGACAAGGAAACACCCATTTGTGTTTCTGTGTAGCTATAATGAACATTTACAAGCATTACATAAATGCAGCGCGATGAGCTACGCCAACAAGGTCTCTGACTCCACTCCCACCTCTGGGTGTACACCACACGCATGTATTAAAGTGATTTTTAATTTAAGGCCCCACTGAGCTGCACTCAGGTTGTGCTATATTTCGCTATGATTTAAGGGCTTGATCATCATTAGCAGGATTTGGCGTCTTTTAGATTCAGCCCTTTCATTAAGTGTGACAGCATGGAGTGATGCTCATTTATCTTCAATCTGTAATCTTGCCATATGAGGTCTGTCATTTTTGAAAGCAAGACGAGCTCACTGCCGGTGGAGAAACGATCATTAACTTTGCACTTATTTGCTCTAGTCGAATTAGTCTCTGCAAAAGCCTTGTCTGCTCTGCTTGTAAAGATTACGGGGTTCAGTGAAACAGGGATTGAAGCAGAGATTAAGCAAGAAAGAAGCACTTAAATGGAGGGTATGACAGAAGCAGAGAATAAAAAATGAGATAGCACTTCTAATAATAAAAACAGCATATTGATCTACAGTGCATCAGTTCGGTCACTGGTGCTCCTCTCTGTCTCCTCAACACTATTGACCCTTGCAGGATTGATTTTTCATTTGTTCTGTACAGTGTAAAGGGCACTTGTTATGCTTTTTGAAATCCCATTTGTGGTAGTTATTAGAGCACCCAAAGCGCCTCTCCTGCAAGTACACAATCTTCAAAGGGTGCACTCGACAGAGTTAACGGATATTCAACAGGTTTACAGCAGTGTTCAGCTCAGAAATGCAAATTCCCGCAGTGAAACCAGCACAGGTTGAGAAAGATAGATGAGAAATGTCTTTTTTCACACCTTGGTAAGATCAGTAAATGCTCCTAGCAGCTTGTTTAAGACAGGGGAACTACCTAATGTGCTGCTGAGCTAAAATGTTACATTAGTTAATCAATGATGGATCGAATTGTTGAACCATGATGAATCTCTTCTCTGACAAAATGCGGAGCTTCAGACTTTGGAAAGATTTATCATCCAGGAGGAGACTTTGTAGTGGAGATAAGCGTTTTACTTCATCACTTTGATGTTATTAAATACATTTAATTTCAGTACAGGGAGTGCTGTCAGATCCATATATTACTTCAAATACCTGTCTATTCTCTGTGTTTATGGGGCGTAAGAAAGTGATCACCTTTTTTTTTTTTAAACGTGTGTGTTTGCGTGTGCGCGTGTGTGTGAGAAACTTCACTAATAGCAATAGGCAACACCTTTTGAGGTAAGAAACAGCTGAGCTCATTATGTAAACATACCAAGCTGAGGAATGCTAAATCTCGTGTGAGTGTGAGTGTGCGTGTTCGCATGTGTGTGTCTTTTTCAAGCAACACGTCACACATTGTTGAAGACAGACTTGTTTGTCCTGACGTACAGTAGTTGGAATCCTGCCTG